CTCAACTGCTATGAACAGAAGTTTATGGGACTACTAGAGTGTAGCCTGCTTAACTATATTTTTATCAAAAGGAGCAGGGCCATCCAAGTAGTCCTACTGTGCTTGTTAAGTAGAAGCCGTTAAGAGGCTGTTGCTGTAGCCTTTTTGTTTTTTTAAATGGGCCTTTCTTCAGATGCTGCAACCCCTGAATCATTCATTGGGGGGGTTGTGCTTTGAGTTTTCGTATTTAGTTTCATTTTCAATGGTATGTACATGCCATCCCAGCATTTCCGTCAACCCGGCACCAGACTCCCTCTTCAGGAGTCAGCAGCAGCGTTTCCTTTCGCTTGTTCTACTTACTCTTCAGTTCCTACCGTTTTGTATGTGCTCTTTATTAGATGTGCAGGTAGCATGTAAAAAGGTTCAAGAATTTTTTGATTGGAGCTGCAATAATAACCAACATTGTAGAGCATTGTGCTGCCACCTGTTTGGTGTCATTAAGTCCCCTCCACAACTCTCAGAAAATAGACCCACTTTGCACGAGACAATGAAAGCATGGTGAAATAAAATAACTGCAGAGCGACACGGCCAATGTAGAAGCGGAGCTAGGACCTCAGCCAGGCTTCCGGCTGTCACTCCTGCCCCTGTACAGCCATTTCTCCCTGTTGCCGCCCAAGAGGCGTTGTTGCTTTTTAAAATGAACTTTTTATTTTAGAATAGCGTACATTTACAGAAAAGCTGTGATGACAGTACTGAGTGAGTTCTCATAAACGGATGCCTGCTTGCCCGAGTTTCTAACATCTTCCATGAACAGGGTACATTTATTGCCATTCTTACACCAGTATTGACACAGTGCTACTAAAGAACGCCCATGTTTTATTTGGTTTTCCTTGAATGCCTCCTTTTTGGCTCATGTTCCATTCAGTCATCGTGTCTTAGGTTTCTTTGAACTATGACAGTTTCTCAGGCTTTCCTTGTCTCTCATGACCTTGACACTTTGGGGGAGTGCTGGCTTCATAGATAGCCCTTCAATTGGGATTTGTGTGTTATTTTTCTTATGATTACACTGAAAGGCTTTGGAGCTACCTTAGAGATAAAGTACTATCTTATCACATTACATCAAGATTACATACTATTCACACGATTTATCACTGTTGAAATTGACCTTGTTCACCTGGCCCGGGTAGCATTTGTTAGGCCTCTCCGCCACCACCATAAAATTACTATTTTTTCTCCTTTCACACACTGCTCTTGGGAAGAAAATCACTGTGGACAGCGCATGCTTGAGGAACTGGGAGTGAGGTGCCACTTCCTTGGGAGTGGAGGATCTACATTCATTATTTGGCTTTCTTCACAGATTTGTGAACGCTTCCCCATGTATTTACTTGTTTATGTCCGTAGAAAGCAAGGGTTTTAAAACACGTCATCAACTCCATAGTCCCTTGTTCAAAATGCTCTAACGGCTTCATTCCCAGATTTGGAGTAAAATAGCAACTCCTCTTCATGGCTACAGGTTTCCTCTCCAAGTTCATCTCCCCCCACTTTTCATAGCTCACTCCCAGCCAACATGGACCTGGACACCCCAGTCTGGAGCCTCTGTGGGACCTTGGTGGGAGGAGAACGCCTCACCTTTTCCTTCGTGGACTGCCTGGTGGTGTTAAACTTCTGACCTTTCAATTAGCAGCCCGGCGTGTGACTCACCGTGTTGCGGGGGCACCTTTACCTTTCTTCCGCGGTTAGTGTAGAGTCCATGAAGGCAGGACTCATGGATACATCCCTAGCTCTTCGATCAGCATTGCCACGCGGTAGCAGCTCAGGGAATATTTGTTAACCAAATGAATAAATGTGTTATTTTATTTATTTAATTGTTATAATGAATAGCAATAATGAGGTCTCTTCTGGAAAAGGTCATCTGTTTTTCTGAACTAATAATTCCCTTTCCACCTTTGTTGCTTGGACATCTTGGAGACATTTGAGGAAGGGAACATTGTTTGGTTTGGTTTTTAAGCAGCACTGTGGTATTTAAAAGGAGCACTGGTGGCATAGTGGTAATGTAGAGGGCTGCTGACCGCAAGGTCAGCAGTTCAAAACCACCAGCAGCTACTAGGGGAAAAGATGAGGCTTTCACAGTCTTGAAAAGCCATAGGGCCAGTTCTGCTGTGCCCTATGTGAACCAGCCCTATGGGGTCACTAAGAAATGGAATCAACTCTATGCCAGTGAGTTTTGGTTTTGCTTTTAATGGTGTTTAATATACAGTGAACCCTCGTTAATCGCGATTAATTGGTTCTAGACCCTACCGTGATAAATGAAATTCCGCGAAGTAGGATTCCTTATTTGTAAATCAAATATTTTCGTAGTTAGAGCATAGAGGACATGAAAAAACACCCTTTAGTCACCATTACACTCGTATTACCCAATTTATTAAACGAAAAAGGGAAAATACAGTAAAACATTTTGGGCGTTACAATTATCATTTATTATTTATTATATTATTTATGGCGTCAAGCATGTACAGTATGAGCCAATCAGTGGCAGTAATGACAGAGCATGCGCTGTTACGGAAGTCGAAGCGCGAAGTGGCGAGGGTTCACTGTAGTTTAAGAAATAAATAAAACCATAAGTTTCTCTGTTTATTTAATGCGCACTTGATGGTGCTCACACTGTGGTTGCAGATGTGTTGGATGAAAATGCCGTCACTAAGACCCTGAGCCTGGGAGTTCTCCTCGTCGGCTCGCCCGGCTAGACTGCAGTCGCTCCGGGGAGGACTGCTGCCTCGCGTTTTAAGCCTTCCTCCGTCCCTCGCCTGTTTAGATGCCTCTGTTGATCATGAGTCTTGCTTTCTTTGGGTGCCCCCTCTCTGAAAGATGCCTCAACATGTTGGTCCCAGTTCCAACTGAAGAGCCTTTCTGCGTCTCCGGGAAGCTTCGCCGTGCGTGATGCAGTTCGCTGTCTGATTCTGTATCACCACAGGAGCCCATTTCCTTTGGAGCTCACTTCCCATCTGCAGTGTTTCCCCTTTGAAGGTTTCCCCGAGAAAACTTACCAAAAAAGAAAGAACACTTACTCAGCAAGCTGTTGGTCCGCTCAAAATTCTTTCTTTTTTTCAGAAAGACATATTTGGTAGTTTGATGGAAAGCCTTCAACTCTGATTTTTATGCTGCTTTTTTACCCCTTTTTATTTGGGACCTGCCGTGTGAAAAAGGATGACTTGTGCCTTCGAACTGTGGGCACAAAACAAGGTTTTAGGAGGTGTCTTGGGAAGAACCAAGTAGATCACGCAGATCCTCCAACCAATGACCTAGTAGTGTGCTCACAGACTTTCTGTCCTACATCCTGATGGAGTGAGTGGTGCCGGGAGTCCTGAACACTTGTGCGCAGACCTGCGAGACACAACCGAGCCGCAGAGACCTGAGCAAGAACAGAAAGAAGAGGCTCAGGATTTGGAGAAAGAAGGAAACTGCAGACCCAGTTGCTTAAATGAACTCCAATTGCCTTTGCATGAGACTGGAAGGAAAGGGGGCGGGGGCGGGCCTGGTTACCATAACTGAACATTTTGATCAAAGTGTATGGATCTTGAGAAAAGGAGGAAAAACTGTGGGAAAGAACCTGAAATACCGTTTGGGAGCCCGGCTTGATGGTTATGTGGAGGCTGGGAAACCGCTGAATTTATTGCTTAGAAACAACTTGTAAGCCTTGAACCACAATTGCCCATGAAGTCATCTTTAAACTAAACAATAATTTCACTCACTTAATAAGGCATGTTCACCTTGAGCATTGCGCTCTTTTAAAGAATGATCTATCTGAGGTTAAATGGACAGCAGTAACCAAAACACAGATGAGAACTTAAAGGGTGGGGTCTAAGTTTAATCGTGGTAAAACATGGATATAGGGTAAATGATGACATGTGATATATATAACCATTGCCAATGAAATGTACATTACAAATTATTGAATGAGCACATGCTGTGCATACTTTCACTACCATAAAATAACGTGAAGTACAGTCCCTGTAACCACTTAGATTCCATTCTTATTAATCAATGAGAGAGAGACATTATCTAGCCATCATCCTTCCTACTTGGTGATGATTGAATGCCATACATTCTTAGGGAAGGTCTCGGGGGTCAAGACGATCGCTGCAAATGAAACCACAGTGACTTCCCTAAATACAGGATGCAAGCGACCAGTTCACATAGGAAAGACAGCCTGCAGCAGCATGAGTCATTTGGGGCAATACAAACCAAAGTGATGCCGAGACACCTCTTCCATCCCCGAGCACGCTTATGGTCAAAAAGACAGACACAAGTGTTGATGAAGACGTGGGGAAATGAACCCTTACGCACTACTGGTGGGAATGTAAAGTAGTGCAGCCACTTAAAAAAAGTAGCAATCCTACTTTTAGGTATGTATGCAAAAGAAATGAAAACAACACATGTCTACATGAAAACTTGTACATGGATATTCACGGCAGCATTATTAATAATAGCCCCAAAGTAGAAACAGCCCAACTGTCTATCCATTGTAGTCCATCTGTTCAATGGACTATTATTTTACCACCCAAAAAATGAGGCACTGATCCATGCAACAGTATTAAAAACATTTTGCTAAGTGTAAGAAGCCAATCACAAAAGATCACATATTGCATGACTCTATATTTGACATGTCCAGCACAGGGAAGTCTGCAAGACGGAACAATTAGTGTTTGCCCGAGGTTGGGGGTGAATGTGGCAATTGATTACAAGTAAGCAGGAGAGAATTTTTTAATGGAAAACCTTCTAAAATGAGACTGTGGCAATTGGTGGTACAGGTGTTTAAATTCCACTAGGACTCATTGAGTTGTGTACTTAACATGTTAATTTCAACCTCAAAAGTCTGATTGGAAAAAAAAACCAACCGGTCTAAGACTTTGAATATCTTTGAATTAGACATGATGGGAGAAAAAGGAAAAAATAGAAGAAGCAAAAAAAGACATGATGGGAGGAGTGGAGGGAGACCACAAACCTGTCTTTCTCTCTTTCAGCCCCGCCCTCCCACGGATTTGAGCTTTAACTTTGATGCCAACAAACAACAAAGACAGCTTATTGCAGAACTGGAAAACAAGAACAGGTAAGGACGCAGAGGTCAGGGCAGGGTGCAATACCCAGGATCAGTAGACATCGGAGTCTCATTGTCCCTGTAGACCAGTTAGCTCTTGACCACACAGGATGATTCCCACCTCTGTGAACACAGACTAGCCGAAGTTCACAGAATACCCTAGACACTGATTTATATATATCTACGTGTTACGTCTTCTGGGTAGTCCACAACTCTGCTCTGTGCCCTCCGTTGAGAGTCTTTTTCTGCGCTTTCTGCCACCCACCCAGCCAGTCCACCTCTGCTGATGTCTTTCTCCACGCGACTCCCCAAGAGTCCTTTTGCTCTATCTGTTCATCTTGTTCTGACCCATTATGCTACATGTGACTGTTGGTGTCTCATAAAAAAAATTAAAGTAAGCCACTTAAAGGATGGAGACCAGACAGTGCACCGTCGTGCTCTGAAAGGTCAAAGCCAGGACAAGGAGATTGGACCTAATGTGATCCGCATAGGGAGAAGAAATGGCAGCCATCAGTCAGTCAGGGAGCCAGAGGAACACTGGAAGTCAGCCCAGGGCCTGCATTAGGGGTTGGAAGGAATTCGCCTTGATTCTCGTTGGAAAGGACAAAAGTTCTGGTTTTCATTTTCCTTCCACGAAGATTTCCCAAGATTTCGAGAAGAGCCTTTTTATATCGATGTATTTACGGTTGCAGAAGCGTTTTGGTTTTTTTCTGGTGAGGAAGCACGAGCGAGTGGAGTAGTATTAACAAGGTGTTATTTCAAATGCTGACCATGTAGAAGCAAGCAGAACCGGATTGGTAAAGGAGGTGCTGCTGGAGCCATGATTTCTAACTTGGCAGCGGGGCGGTGGGCCGTGAAGCACTGTGAACACCTCTCCCCTCCTACCCCCCTCCCTAGAGAAATCCTGCAGGAGATTCAGCGTTTACGTCTGGAGCATGAGCAGGCCTCGCAACCCACCCCCGAGAAGGCCCAGCAGAACCCCACGTTGCTGGCCGAGCTGCGGCTGCTAAGGTAAGTAGGAACGGTAAACCGATGTCCCCAAACTGTCAGACTCTACCAGGAAATCAAATGAATGCAATGGAAGCTGTTTATCAGTATAGCTAGTCCCTTTGAGAGCTCAATATACATACTCATTTGATTATTGCTTCAGCTATTTGAGTTCCACTAGTAATTACTCATGGGAGCTCTTGGGGTGGAAGGGGTTAAGCATTGGGCTGCTAACCCCCGGGTCAACATTTTGAACCCACCAGCTGCCCCTAAGAAGAAAGATGAGGCTGGCTACTGTTGTCAAACTTCACCCTCTCAGAAACCGGACGGAGCAGGTCTACTCTGTCTGGTAGGGTTGCCGGATCTCAGAATCTCTCTGATGGCAGTGGGTGTGAACCACTGGGAGAATTTAAACCATGATGGCAGAGCAAAGAAAGTAGCAGCCTCCCAGAGCACCTAATGCTTTAAGAGGATTATATGCAGTATGGGGACGCCAGGGTCAATTGGCATAACATAGTCCACAGAGACACTGTTCTACATCCTACTTTGGTGAGTAGCCCCTGGCATCGTGAAAGCTCATGAGTGGCCATCTAGTGTACACTTCTTGGTGTCCCTGGTCTCTCCCAGGGGAAGAGCCACCGTGTCCATCTATCTCGTTGCCTGTCTCTCCACCACTTGCCTGTCAGTTTGTCACACTGTGGTGGCTGATGTGTTGCCTTGATGCTGGAAGTTATGTTGTTAGTATTTCAAACACCAGCATGGTCATCCAAAGTGAACCCGTTTCAGCAGAGCTTCCAGCCTACACACAGACATTGATGAAGGACTCGACTTCCCACTCCAGAGGCAAGAGCTGCAGAACATCTTATGCCCAGCTTCGAAACCCTGTCAGACCCCGAAAGGAAGCAGAACCTTGTTGGAGATCGTGCCGGCAGATGGGCCCCATGGGCTGGAGGGCACGCGAAATGTGACCGAGGAAGAGCCAGACTGCTGCTTAGAGGCAAGGATGGTGAGGCTTTGTCTTATGTGCCCTTGGTCATGTTATCAGGAGAGACCAGTCGGGCAGCAAAAAAGAGGAAGGCCCTCAACAAGCTGGGTGGACACTGGAGCTGCAGCAACGGGCCCAAGCACAGGCACAATGGTAAGGGTGGAAGTGCTTCATTCTGTTGTAAGGTCGTCGTGAGTCTGACCTCACTTGATGGCACCCAACAAGCGCCACCTGGTCTGGGAGAAAGACGCACGAAGGCAAATCAAAGACGCACGGAAACACTGAGTGCGGTGAACTAATGGACCACCCGAACAGGACCCCGAGGCCCAGAAAAACGGTGGTGCTCAGCTACCAGTATCAACTTCTTTGAAAGGGATCACATTAGATAGAGCAAAAGAAAAATGTGGAATAAGGACTCAACATCATAAAAAAAAAAAAGACCAGACTTATGAGTTGGCTAGGGATTGGTAGACCCACAGACACTATGGCCCTTGTCACTCTTTACATTTGGAAATGAACTCGTTGTGATGGTTCAATTTTTGGCAAACAGTAGGCAGTTCTATAAGAGTAACAATAATGCCAGGGAGGTATGCACACCTTAGAATAGTCAACCATTTGAGATGAAAGAGACAGCATTTACCCAAGGACAGAGTCCAGAAGGGTTAGGAAAGAAGGAGTGGACCGAAGAAGCACAGGGAAGAAGTGGAAGAGGTGATGTTCAGTTCAATGATTGCAATCAGTGACAAGAATCAAAGTACAACTTTGGGTATATTCCACCTGAATTTAGAAACCATCTCAAGAATAGATTTGAGGCATTAAACTCTAATGTTTGACCACCAAGTAAGTTATGGGATATCAAGGATATCATCATACATGGAGAAAATAAAAGGTTATTTAAAAGACAGGAAAGGAGCTGATACCAAGGGCTCAAACAGGCAGTGAATGTTTAGAAACGATGATGGCAACATATGTACAAATGTGCTTGATACAATTGACATACGGATTGTTGTAAGAACTATAAGAGCCTTTAATAAAAGGATTTATTTAAACAATTTTAAATGATCTTTTAAAAAAACTGCCAAAAACAAAAACAAAAACAAATTTTTAAAAAAATAAATAAAAAAACTGCCAAGAGAATTCCTGAAGTGTGAGAGGATAATAAATTGAAATCTTAACTTGGAAAAAAAAAACAAAATAAAAGACAGGAAAAATAAGGATTGTTATAAGAGCTGTAAGAACCCCAAGTAAAATATTTTTTTAAAAACCACAACAAAACCTAAAAAAGAAAAGGACAGGAAAAAATAGAAAAGTCCAAAATGGATGTCAGAGAAGACTCTGACACTTGCTCTTGAACAAAGAGTATGAACAACTTGTTAAGTGCCGCAGATGCATCCTGCTTCCTGAAAGTGAGGAGGACTTGAAACACTTGAAAGAGGATTGTCGCCTTCAGGATGGGTGATTACTCAATGTAAAGACGATAATAATCCTCATAACTGGACCCATAGATAACATCATGATAAATGGAGAAAAGATGGAGGTTAACAAGGATTTTGTCTTGTCTTGCTGAGATCCACAATCAGTTCATGGAAGCAACAGTCAAGATCAAATGATGCATTGCCTTGGGTAAATCTGCTGCACAAGATCTTTTTAAAGTGTTGAAAAGCAAAGAGGTTACTTTGAGGACTAAAGTGTGCCTGACTCAAGCCTTAGTATTTTCAGTTGCCTCATCTGCA